GTTTAACGTTGAATATTATTTATGATTTTAACTTTATACACAAGTGCCAAAATACTATAATTATAAGGTAACTATTAACTTACAAAGCAAAGTAATGATAACAACACGAGATTACATAATGATTATTTAAAACTGAGTATACCAAACAAAATGAGTACATTTTATATTTGAAATTAAGACTAAAGTCAAATATAAGTATGACTGATGAAAAAAGAAGATCACTGCAACTAACAACCAAACATACAAACTGCTTATCTGTTATATTTAATTACTGTTGTTTTTAGTAATGTACACTAACAAATTAGTCTAAAACACTGAAAATATTGAGTTAAGAATAAATTTATTTATGTTCATTTAATGTTGACATTTTCTTTTAAATATTAGGTACTTTTGTAATATTAGTATTTAATTAACTCTCCATTAGTCTTCTGTAAAAATTTTCCATAGTCACTTGTCCAGGAATCAGCTGACCCCATCATAAAAAAATCAATTAAAAAATATGTAAATAATAATAATAACCTGTTATTTTGGAAACAAAAACACTAACATTCAAAATATTTTCCTTTATCAATCAATAAATGAACATTGAGTATTTTTACCATCTAAACTAAGCGTAACAATTTAACACAAACTACCCGAATACTGAAGCTACATGTATGTGCTGCATCTGTCGGCGCCAATGTTTACCAAATATTTGGGGTCCATGAACCCCCCCCCCCGGAAAACTAACGCAGGGTTAATAGACTATAGACCATCATAATCCACAGAACAATGTGAGGTCAACCATGCTGATAAAAAGCTGAGTGAGTACAATTTGTAATTTAGTAACAAATTCTGATATGTTTTTTAAAGTTTCATGAAATCTTATGCTATTTTATAATGTGAACTTTATTCTCTAAATATCAGATTTAAAAAACTGATGAAATTTTTTCACTAGCTCACAACACCAAATCTATGTACTTCTAAGAGGCAAAAAAAAAAACTTACCGAAACCTTTTTTGGCCCCCCTTTCATCCCTTTCTCCAAAGATGCTAGCAAAATTGCCGCGACTGTAATCACCTTTCTGCAATCCTGCAGTGGCACTTGGTTTAGGCTGATGAGAGTTCATCCCTGATGCCTGTGGAAATGCACTGGGTCCAGTGCCTCCATATGACTGTGGGCGTGGCATGTGTTGAGGACTAGTGCCAGGGGAAAGGCTGGATGAAGTGGTTCGTTGCTGCCAAGTGCCAAAGTTTTGTTGTGAATTTTTACCAAGATTAGTTGCGAGATTCCCTGAATTAACAAACACATAATATTTCTTATGAGAATAGCTTCTAAAGGAAGAAGTATAAAACATGGTAGGTTGATTCAAAGTGACATTTAGTTTGAATTAGTATTTGAAAGTACATTTTCAAACTTTTAAACACAACATTGTTTTGTGTATACAATAATAAAACAAATTTAAACACAGTTCATCTATTTTACTTTATTTTCTATGCAAAATTAAAACAATAATAATGATTACATTGCTTGCATTACATCTTAGATCAACAGTGGTTTAATGTATCAAATCAAGTATCAGTACAGATTTACCATACTTATACAAAAGGTAACCAATTTTGAGAAGTTCAAGATATTTTTTCTTGATTATGACGAAGCTGGACATATAAAGTGAAGGTGACAAAATTATAGAATAAATAAAAAGTTTACTTTAAAATGAATTACATCGTGTAAAACAGATGTGTCAAGCCTATAAAATATTAATCAACTACCCATGAGCTTCGATTATATCAATTATTGTGATGTTAAATAACTGATTAATTAATATAATCAGACAACCTACGAGCTTTGGTTAATTTGACTAGTGTCACGTAAGATGATCAACTAAGCAAAATTATGATTAAATCTACTGTCATGAAAATAATAAATTAGTGTTTCCAATTATTACAACTATCCAGTAATAGAAATTACAACTCAATTGATTAATGTCATTAAAATAACTTATCAAAATTAGTGTTTCCGTTTATTACTGGTTTATACTGCTACAACTAATCAGTAATTGAAATATTGTCATTATGATTTTATTGTAAATTTCAATTTTGTTTAGCTTACTAAATTTGTGTCACGTGACTCAGGAAAATAATCAGTTAATTGAAATTAGGGTTTACATGATAACTACTTTTATTTCAACTGTCCAAGTAATCAAAATATGGCCATTTAATTTGTTTTTGTTAAGCGTAAACTATATTACCATTAATTGTCAGTCAACTTTTTAAGTAAATCTTTACCTACAAGTAAATTTTGCTATTTTTTTTTATTTTATGCCACAGTGTTTGTTCATTACTGAACATCCCCATTTACACAAAGTTCCAGTCTGCTAATGTCCATCCAATGATCAGCTAATATTTACAAGTCATTGCATAATGTAAAACACTTAACCCAATGTGCATGGGGTCAGTCCTATGAACAGAGTCCATACTGGAGAAGTAATGTTGACTATAATTCTGATACTACTACATGCACCTTCAGAAAATGTGGCAAGCTTTTAATAAAAAGTACAATTGTGTTGTACACAAAACATTAGATGTGTCAAAAAAGAATTTGTACTCAAGATATGTCTGTGAACTGACTACGTCAGTCTGATTCAGGCTCCGAGAAGCTGAAGTACAAGGTGATGTCCACAGTTTGTATACATTTACATAACCTCTAAAACCTACGAAATGCATACCTATAGTTTTTCAGTATTCCTGTATACTGTATCTGGTATTTCTCTACTATACTACATGATGTCATTTAATCAGCAGTTATAATACCACAATGAATGGTACTTTGTAATAAGAAGTTGTGAAATGTGCACTTGGACCCCCACCCAAGCACATAGGGTTAATATTTTTAAGCTTTTGTGATCTAACTCTAAAAGTAATTAACTAACATGTTTGTAATTTCATACTTCACACATAATTTGATTGACAGAATACAAACTAATTTCTATATATGAATAAGGGAACAAGTTTCAGACTGATACAAGTATATAAAGAAAAGGTTGTAATAAATATTCATTATTTCAGAACAATCACATCTATGCTTTCTTTTTTTTATATAAATGTTGTAAAAAAAACTTACCAAGATCAGCAAAAGGATCACAAGTTTCTTTTAATGCTTCCAGATTGGGAGTAGAAGCATTACGGGGAATGGTGACATTTGGAAATTGTTGACCTGGGGGCACTGCTGAGCTAGGAGATGTGAAAACAGAATCCCAGCCACCCATAAGGGAAGCATCTTGACCTTCAGATGCCCGAAGATTACATGCTGATGCACTAGATGAAATACTGGGTTTACGCTGTTCATGATAAAGAAACAATTATGTCTAAACACATGTGCAGAAGTTATTATTACAGTATATTTAAACCATAATTACATTTTAACAAGCTTTCAAAGATATTTCTCAAGTCAGCATTGCACTTTCTTACTCTGTCTGCAAAGCATCATGATTGGTATACTAGTTTCTCATTACAAAACCTGAAGATGGAGTTAGGAGTTCCCACTAAATTCCCAATATTGTTTATTTCTTTAAAGAAACAAAAAGAATTAAAAACATATTACACAAAATATGGTCTCTGCAAGAATGTAATTTTCTTAGTTTAAAAAAAATATTGGAGGGTTCAGTATTATAAGTTCATTAGATGTACAAACTATTAACTTTCTTCAATATTCAGCTGACTTACAATGTTGTGGTTTCAACACAAGGAACGTATGTAATCTAAGCTTTACAATTTTGTCCGGGTTCACTTGTTTGAAACAAACAAACTACATCATCACCCACAACAGTTAAACTTAAATAGGATATGAAGTGTAAAAAAATTTTTCAGGTAGTGAATTGCAACAAACTTTCTTTTTATCAAAGATAACATTTCAGTTTAACTAGTAGTCTTTAATATAAATTTATAGTTTTGTTGTGGTTGAAATCAGTTAAAGAAATCTTTGTGGAGTTTTTACATTGCATACAAGACTAAAGTCTGGCTATTAATCCTCAATGTAACCATTTATGTAAACCAACTTGTTTCTGATTTGTAAAACTGTCTTTATGAGTCAATCCTTTAGACAGTTACATACAGTACAAACTGTAATCATGTGCAACTGTGATTGTTTATTAGACATCCATAATCAGTGTTAAGTTTTTCAGATATAACATTTGTTTTGCTGTCAATCTGTTTTTATCAAATTTTCTAGTTGTCTGATGCAATACCATCTATTATCTTCATTACTAAGATAACACTATCTGTGACTACAAAATTATAACAGTTGATTGGAAGTTTGGTTAATATTCTTTTGTTCTTTTTATGCTTCAGTCATTTCAAGAGTCACCTGTTAAAATACAAAACTATATTGAATTGACAGCACCTAGTACATCAAACTAATCTAGTGTTGAATATAGCTAGCTATGTTTGTTTTCCTCCTAGAAGAACTTCTGTATTCAGCAAAAGTAGCATATGTCTAGAGAACCAAAGTGGTGAGAGCCAAAAGTAGGGACTGTGTTGTCAGCCAAAAGTAGTGCTTGCGTAAAATATTCTAAGTAATCAGCATTTAAATATACAAATCCACACCAATAAAACATTAGTAAATACAATTAACAAACTAAATTCATATATTACTATATCTATTGAAGCATTTAAGACAGCTGATTTTCAGCCAACATAATTCTTCAATATACAAACAAGTAAATTTCCACAGACCTTCTACAGCTTTTCATTAATGTTTCGCTAAACTTACAAAATCATCTGTGGTGAATGAATCCTCCTAGCAATGATTAAATAACCTACAATACAATATCTTCATTTAACGTCCCATGACTTAGAACCAATTAATTAGTTGTGTCTTTCATAACTTCACATTAAGAAATATTACAGAAATTCTTACAGCTTTGTAATCACCTGTGTTCTGCCTAAAAGCTATTGTGCTAACAATTTACATTGTCCATAATCATAAAAACTGTCATTAAGCAACTTTTTTACATTAGTGCAAAGTGAACCTAACTAAACAAAAAAATAAAAATCTGCTCAACTATTTGATGGCCAAACAAGTATTCAATTTTCCTTACTGTATGACCTAGTAATGAATTACATGTTAAAAATTACCTGATTTTATGTAAGGTTAAATTCTCACTGAACGAGTTTCAGTTGACATTAAGTACTGTGTAACATAGAATCATGAGTGCCGATATGACCGATTTATAGTGGTTAATTATATAAATCATGAAATGTGGTTAACAACCAAGTTCTGATTTTACCTGATTTTGAATTTTGTTAAATTCTCACTGATTGTAACAAATGAAATTAATACACCCAATACACCATCCAAGAGATTGTAAGTAATGTACCTAATAAACCCTATACATCACAAGGTTGTAAAGAATGTCCCTAATACACCCTATACACCAAAAGGTTGTAAGAAATGTTCCTAAGATACCATATACATTGCAAAAATGTAAAGAAAGTTTCCAATACATCAACAGATTGTACGGAATGTTCTTAATATACCCTATACACTGAGAAAGTGTAAGGAAAGGTTCCAATATATCAATAGATTGTACGGAATGTTCCTAATATACCCTATACACTGAGAAAGTGTAAGGAAAGTTTCCAATACATCAATAGATTGTATGGAATGTTCCTAATATACCCTATACACTGAGAAAGTGTAAGGAAAGTTTCCAATACATCAATAGATTGTACGGAATGTTCCTAATATACCCTATACACTGAGAAAGTGTAAGGAAAGTTTCTAATACATCAATAGATTGTACGGAATGTTCCTAAGATACCATATACACTACAAAAATGTAAAGAAAGGTTCCAATACATCAATAGATTGTACGGAATATTCCTAATATACCCTATACACTGAGAAAGTGTAAGGAAAGTTTCCCATACATCAACAGATTGTACAGAATGTTCTAATATACCCTATACACTGAAAAAAGTGTAAGGAAAGTTTCTAATACATCAATAGATTGTACAGAATGTTCCTAATATACCCTATACGCTGAAAAAGTGTAAGGAAAGTTTCTAATACATCAATAGATTTTACAGAATGTTCCTAATATACTCTATACGCTGAAAAAGTGTAAGGAAAGTTTCCAATACATCAAGAGATGTATAAAACATACTCTTATCAATTTTTTTGGAATATTTCTGCTCCACTCAAGGTATGGTTTTAAACTTGCTAGAAAGCTATAATCAAACTAGAATATAAATATTCATGTCTTGTCTCTCACATGGTTTTTCTTCTTTGTTAGTAATTTTATTACTACAGACTTTCGTTCCCACCCTTTCATATCACAGTGTGTGATCTGAACGATTACTAATGAAGTACAGATTTGAAAATAGATGGAGGCAACATTTAAATATGAATGGATAGAACAGATTCAAAATTATTTACATCAACATAGAGAAAATACAGCGGTATAAGCAGTACATGGTTTTGTGGGAAAATGACTAGATGAAGCCAATTGTAGGGGTGAACAAAGAAGTTTAAGGCAGATCTGGGACTTTGTTTCAGTTTGTTAAGGCATTCTTTTCATTCCTATAACAGTAAATCAAGTAAGCTTTGTTAAGTTTGACAAGTACTGAATACATGCAATTAACTATAGTAAAATTTAGGATTTTCACATGCTAAATGCACAGATTTTCCAAAACTGCAACCATTTTAATTTTTTTGGCATCAAGTATGCAGGTTATTTGTGTCATTTTCACAATCTAAAAGTTGGCAATCAAATACATACTTGAGGTGTGTTTCCAGCACTGCTGCTTCGTATATCATCAACGCTGGTAGCAAATGGATCAAATAAATCGGCAGAAGTATCTCCTGAAGTCTTGTGGACAGAAGTTAAACTACCTGCATTGAACACACCAAAAGGATCAGGTCCCGAGTTTTGGTTAGTTGCTGGTGTTGGAACTTTCGTGGATCCATCTGTAAATGGATCAAAAAGATCATGAAATCCAGAACCTGAATTTAATGTTGTGATCAGTGGAACATTCGGATTGTTTAACAAGTCAAAGTTAGTTAGTTCAGGCTTGCTTCCATCAGCTGATATGTCCAAAAGATTGAAAGAGGGTCCATTCTGATTGTTTTGTGTTCCTCTTTCAAAATCTCCATCTACAGCAGAAGAGCTTGTTCCAAGGTTTAGAAGATCAACATCTTCAGGTGCCAGTCTTTTTGAGTCTTCTAATGTTTTCTCTCTCCCTTGACTTGGTGGTGGTGTAGGTGTTTGGTCACTTTCTTCTTCCTTTAGTAAAAATGTTATAATACGAATGAAAAATTGTCAATTATGTGACTAACAAAACAACAACAAAATAATCATACTTCTGATTGTATGTAATATAAAATGAGTACAAAGCTGAACTATCACGGGAAGCTATTACTCACTTTCTCTTTCCTAAAATAAAAATGTAACAATGTGTATAAAAAACTTAAAACCATGTGAATTATTCTAATAGAACATCAAAATTAATTCTGATTGTATATAACATAAAATAGTACAAAACTTAACTTTTACAGAATTACTAGGTTATACAGTTGGCTTTGATATACAGGAACAGCCAAAAGTTGTAGTGTACTCACAGCAGTTATTCTACTGTATCATCCCTTTTGGCCAGCAACAGATAGGAAAATGTTTTCTTATATATACAGTAATCAATCAAAAAGTAATATGATTAACATCTTTGACTTTCTAGTTTGAATGGAATGAGATCAAATTTTATATATAATCAGAGTGTGTCCCATGCCACAAGATGTTACTACATTTTTGATTAATAGTTATAAGAATACAACAGTGATTTCAGCTCCTAGACAACTTCAGAAAAAAAGAAAAGAAAAAAAAAGAACTTTATTAATTTATAGGCATGTATTTTTCCAAGTTCACTGTTTTTTTTGGTTTGATGTATGATCCCCCCCCCAATACCCCCCACCTTTTAAATCCATAGAAAAGTTCACTAATTTGAACGTTAACATTGTCTTTACCTTTAAAATGTAAATCCAATAGATACCTGCACATACAGGATAACTTGATCCCTCATGCATCTGTCTATAAGACTTGCATGGTACTAGCCTTGAGCTAATTCCCACAAAAAAATAGCGAGTTTAACACGAACTGCACTAGTTGCTAAGAAAGATGTTAACTTCTGAGAAGATACCTCACTCTGCATACAGAATAGCTAGAATCCCACATTGAAATGGTGGAGGAGCATTAAACCTAGAACGTGGCCCAAATGAAAAGCCCATGGAGTGTGACACCCAACAGCAGGGGCTTCATAGGGGTACACTAATGAGAGACCACATCTTGTGTTAACCAGGGTATACTCTTTATATAAGAAATGACCCTGGAATTGTCAGAGTGGATAATGACCACATCCATGAGAAGAGGGAGGAAATGGAAATATTCCCGACTGGCAGCAAGATGTTTAAGGATGACGATATAGAGTGCCACACATCTGAAGTCATGTATTCATTTAAAGACTAACTCCAGCTCAACAAAGAAGCAGCTATGAAAGGATAGAGATTTGGTTGGGGGGGGGGGTAGGAGGATGCTGGCCATAGTGGTATGAATAAGTCACTAAGACGAATCACTGAGAAGAGAAGGGACAAAAACATGATGACCATAATGGTATGATTGAGTCACTAAGACAAGTCCTTGAGAAGAGGAGAAGGAGGATGCTGACCATAGCAGTATGATTGAGTCACTAAGACAAGTCCTTGAGAAGAGGAGAAGGGGGATGCTGACCATAATGGTATGATTGAGTCACTAAGACAAGTCCTTGAGAAGAGGAGAAGGGGGATGCTGACCATAGCGGTATGATTGAATCACTAAGACAAGTCCTTGAGAAGAGAAGGGACAAGGGGATGCTGACCATAATGGTATGATTGAGTCACTAAGACAAGTCCTTGAGAAGAGGAGAAGGGGATGCTGACCATAGTGGTATGAATGAGTCACTAAGACAAGTCCTTGAGAAGAGGAGAAGGGAGGTGCACAATCGAGGACAACGGATCCCGAGAAATGTTCTATCAGAGGAGATGCATGTGTGTATGTGCAGACTAAAGGAATTAGTGTTTTGAGAAAAGCCAGAATTCTCCAGAGCAAAAGAACCTCATGCACAGAGTGTAAACGACATTCCATTGCTCATAGAAGAAGTGGTGAAGGCTGAGCCCAACTGAGATGGGACTGGAAGAACATGTCCAGATGTACCAAATATTGAGGAGGCATGAGAAAAGCGTTGGAAGGCTGGACAAACCAACTCAGCTGAGCAGCCTCCCACAGAAGAAATCAGGTGTGAGAGAAGGAGTTCTCCCAAGAAAGGACCAGGAGAAGCCAGTCATCCATGTAATAATAGAACCTCAGCCTCCAATCTGTGAACAAGGCAGGCAAGTGTCCTCACAACTTGATTAAAGACATAAGGAGCAGATGCAATGCCAAAAAGGAGCATGGAATTGGAACACCTTATCCCTAAAGATGAAACAAAGCAATCAGAATGTGTAAAAAGGTGTCCACAACATCAACCTTGGTCATCCACAGTCTGGGTGAAAAGAACCACCAGAGAGAAAAAAAAACCTCTTCATCTTGAGGACCACAAAGAGATAAGAGTAATAATCAGGTGAAGGGGTAAGTACCCTCTTGATGAAATTCTTAGTCAAGATATCTGGGACCACATTCTCATTACACTGAAGATAAATGGGGAATGCAGGAAAGAGGAAAGGAAATGGAAAAAAGAAAAAGAGGTGAAGAGAAGTGGAGAGTTAGGCTATAGGTGAGAACCCGAAGAATCCCTCTGTCAGACAAAAATGGAGACCAAAGGCTGGTGAAGAAAGACATATAGGTCCCTACAGGGCCAGATGAGCAACAAAATTGACATTAGGGAATAGAAAAAGGTCGAGAAGTTTGAATGGGAAACATGAAATCAGCAGACCTATGAATAAGAACAGAATGGCAAAGTTTGGAAAGACAAGAAACCATAGTAGACAATGAGAACTGGTGACAGGCCACTTCAACCTGGGTCTCCAGTGACTCAGAAACCAAGTAAGAAAGGTTAGAGCAGAAGTAGTAGTAGTATGGTTTAATGTAGTAAAAAGAAGAGAACAAACCTCTCCAGAAAACTTCTCTGGTGCATGATGAAATGCCTGAGACATAAAATGAAGTGATGAGAGTAACACAGAAGGGTGGTAAGAAAGAGATGAAGGTACAAAAAATCGGGCTCTAGGAAGGGAAACATAAGTTAATAGGCCAATCAGGTAAAAGAGATGCCAAAGACTAGGAATCGAAGAACAGATATGAAGATTGGCTGTAAGCCAGAACGGAAGAGCCAAGTAAACGAAGAGGACAAGGAATGTTAGTATGGGTTTGCAGTTGTTTGAGAAACAAGTCTGTATGGACCCTAATGTCAGGTGAAGGAGGAAAGACAAAACAATCTTGAATATGAGTTTCATGTAGTAAAGCATGGAAGGAATCATCAGAACATACCTGCAAAATCAAGTCAAGGAAAAGATTAGTATAGTAACGTGAGGATTTTTCCTACACAGATCAATTTGCTCCTATTGCAAACACTGGTAGAGGAAATAGCCAGTCAAATCACCATGATCACAATCATGTTCAAACTGGGAAGAAGGAATGTCTGCCTAATTGACAGAAGGAGGAGTCCTAGTGAGAGTGAAGGAACCTGCAATACATAGACACAGGTCCCCTGTTTGGAGCATTGCCAATAACATGGGATAAGGCAGAAGTTACCATCATTTAAGAATTCATAATGGCAGGAAATACCATAACAATGTTTTTTTTTTCATTTCCAACTAAAAGAAAAAAACATACTGGATATGTGAATTATGAACATTAAACTAAGGAAACTGAAATGAAATTTAAATCAGTAGGAAATCATCATAAATCTCCAGTAATTGACTACCAAGTTTGAAACACGTCCATTCTAGATAATGCCAAGGAAAAGAATGAAGTTATTTTGAATGCAAGTGCTTAGGGGCAGCAGCTGTGTTGCTCTCCTATTGGTGGAGGGATATCGTACCATGATGATGCCATTGTGCCCTAACACAGGTCATGATAATCAAGTGATTTTTACATGGGAGTTAACTCAAGACTAATAGTATGAAACCCTCAAAGACAGATGCACTAGGGATCAAGCTATTCCATATGAGGTATCATCTTAGACTTCCTCCATCATGTTTTTTAATTAAAGTTCTCTATTTCATAACTTAATTAATATCTTCAACAAGAACTATTAACGCTATACAAACCCAAACTACTTCATGCTTCTTCTCCCAGTTGACAGATGGTAAAACTTCTGATAAAACAGCAGTTGTACCATTGGTCTCTTTACAAGGTTGACGCTTGTTCACAACATTTGTAAACTGAGCTACAAATAAGCATGAAAGAGAAAATTAAAATTAGTAAGGTAAAGAAGCTAAGCTACAATATAAACTCATTAACCACAAGTTGATTTCTCAAAAGGCATGTATGAGATGAATCATTATTCAATATAAAAGTTTTTCTGATTTATAAAGGTTTAAAGGCTGCTATTTTTCACTAATAATAGTTTCTTTTGCATGTTTTTTTTATGCACAAAACTGTACAATGGTATCTGAGCTACATCTATCACATGGTTTGTGTTTTCTTTTTAGATCTAACCTACACAGGGGTTATCAGTACATAGCTGTGTCTCATTCTTAACAGACAGACTAGAGATAAAAGAGCCAGTTAACAGCACCCATGGGATGGTGGTGTAAGTGATGAGTGTTTAGTCATTATCTTCTTACTACAGTAAGTGTTACTGAATGAAAAATTGTAAACCGAACAGTTGGCTGTTATATTATAACACATCCACGATACCAAAGTACAAAACACATTTATGTAGCAATGAGATGTGAACCATGAATCAAAGGAGTCACAGTCTGGGCATGCTAATCACTAGGTCATGTCTGGTTCCCACTACAAGGTTTGAACCCTATATTTTAGCATTATAATGTTTTAAGTTTACTAAGCCATTTGGGGATGGGGGGGGGGGGCTTCTTTTGTAATAGCTTGAAAAGCTAGTGAGATTCACCATATAAAGTAAAACGAGAAAATGAAAAGATATGATATTATAAGCTCTTTCTTTTTATACATTAAGCCTAATAAAAGAACATGTTATGACCACAAAATATTATACACCAAATGCCATGTGTTCCAAATCACCATTGTTTAAGTACTTAACTAAGAATTAAAAATTGTATTTTAACACTTTAATTTATGTATTATTGGGTGCTAATAACTTGGTTTAACACCCATTTTATGCCTTGAGTAAAAACAAAAACTGAGAAAACAAACTTGAGAATAGTGATACTGGTTTGTTCAGTTTTTGTTTAGAATTATAATAAACTTGATTAAAATATTGATGTTCATGTATAAATATAAATTGCAAGACAAACATGATGATTTGCCGAATAACTGTGAGAAGTTAACTCATTTGTATTTTTACCCATAAAAGTTACAGGAATATATTGTTTTAATAAATTAATACATTACATTTAATAAGTTACAAACACAATGATATTTTAAAATTATTTTGCCTTAACACCAGGTTTTAATAAAGTAAGCACATAACTAATTGTTACATGCTGTTACTAGGTTTAAAAATAGGCTTACTTAAGCATGATTTCATTGCACATAACTAACTGTTACATGCTCTTGTTAGGCCTGACACTATGCTTACTTAAACATGATTACATTGCACATAACTAACTGCTATGTGCTGTTACTTGGCCTGAAACTAGGCTTACTTAAACAGGACTCCATTATACATAACTACTGCATGCTGTTGCTAGGCCTGAAACTAGGCTTACTTAAACAGGATTCCATTATATATAACTGCTACATGCTGTTGTTAGGCCAGAAACTAGGCTTACTTAAACAGGACTCCATTTCATCCTCTGTAAAGAACAAAATTTTTGGTGATAGATTCATCTTATCCAATCCCTCCCAAGCAAGGGGTTTATTGGAATGAAGAGATTGTTCTTGGCTATCAACTTCAACTTTCAGTGTTACTGTAAATCCTTCAGGATAACGATCTAATTCTTCCACACCATCCAAGTCATTTCTAAAGTAAAATATTAATATCTTAGATATTAAAAATAGATATACAATTTAATGTGTCTAAATTTTGTTCTCTTTCAAAATAAAATTTAAATTCATTAAACAACTTCTGCCAAGTCATTAAAATGATTACATAAAAAGTGGTTAGTGAATATAGATTACACCTTTATAGAATCAACTTTAACAATTTTTGATAAGGTCCATTTTATTCATGCTTGCTTTAGAGTAAAAATAGTAAAATGCATAAAAACACTGTAAAACTAACATCAACAGATTAAATTATTATCACATTTTTACTTTTTTTTTTTTTACTAAAGACCAATTTTCTGATATTTATTTATTGTTACCTTGTTCATTATGATTAGATATTGTTATGAAATACAAAGTCATTGTTGTTTTTGAACATCATTATTACTGTTGATGTTCCTTTGCTACTTTTAAAACAAGTTTTAAAAAATATTTTATCTGTAGATAAAAAATTTGTTGATTAACATCTTTTTGTAATTGTGATTTATAAGCTTGGTAGATAAATGCCTTGTATCTGTTTGATTAAAAATCTTTTAGAATTCCTCAGCTTTTTTTCAAAACAAGAATAGCATTAGTCTAGTCAAGAATATTAATTTATTTCTAGATATAAATGGATATAAAAGTATGTGTGTGGTATGAAGATTTAGAAATTAAAAGAACTTTAGTGGATCAAGTCTTTATAATGATGAAGTATATAAAGGGGCAAATAACTGTTATTAATCTACTTTAGAAACTGTTTATGTTCAAAGTTCAAATCAAGATGTAAAGACTGATACTGAATAGAAACAGAATTAACACACTATAAAATATGAATTATAGAACTTGAAATCAATGAGCAAAATAATGGAGAGTGGGTTGTTCATGTTTTTGCCCACAATGAACAATTCTAAACACACTGTAGAACTAACCAAAGGAAAACCACAGTCATAATAAAGGTCTGCTATTTCCTATTGTCTTAGAAAGAATCATCTGAAGTCCATATCATAAGTCACATTTACAATTAAAATGAAAGAAGAAAACTATAGCAGAGCTGCTGAAATTGCAAAATGCTCAACTCATATGTTCTATCAAAATACTTCAAGAAGCAATAATTTCCTGAGAGTTATTTCACTGAAGCTTGTCAAACTGAAAATAAATTGTACAGATAAGAATAAAGGAATGTAGAAATACGGCTTTGAGAGAACAAATCAGCTCGTTACAGAGCCAGATCCTGTTGATACTTGCTGATAAGGTTGCTCCAAACACCGCGAATAATGGAGTCATCAAGTACTGCTAATACGGATCTGAATAAACAGCAAATAAGTCAGAAAATATTAATTGAGAAAGATATTTATTTAGAGCTGAAACTATTTTAGGTATGGAAAAACAGGACACTACATCAGAGACTGTAAGAAGAAATGTTTCACTAGAAGTAGTCGGCTGTATCAGAGATGTGAATGGAATTGTTAACCTCGTAGTCATCTGTAATCTAAAAGCAAGAAAAATGTTATGTTCAGAAAACTGCCCTGCAAACCTTGCTAAAAAACGTGATGGTGTCCACAAAGGTCAGTTAGGAAACATGAAGGGTAAAGTTCAGATAATGATCTGAACTGCTCCACTCAGGATAAACAGAAAATGAGTTTTTAATAGAGATTTGTCCACTAGTTATTGGAACTACAGAAGGAACAGTAAATCATACACTGAACCTGCAGCAATTACTATTTGGTCAGATATAATCTCCAGAAATGGGAAGTTGCCTTCACAGATAAAGCTTGGACTAACAAACAATACATGTGATAATAAAATTCAAGCCTCCAAAAAAATTGAAGGTTGTTAGAATGATTCCAGTTATATCAAGTTAAAACAGCAAAATACATAGAAGGGGATTGATCTTGCAACAAAATTATGACTATGTTTGAGACTATCCTTAAGCATCTGCATGATTTGTATGATGCATAAATTGTAACAGATAACCTTGTGTTACATTACCCTTGAGCTTAGTATCAGATTTTATAATTACATCATAAAGCTAAAGATATTTTCACCAGTGGGTAACATACACAAAAACACTTATGTAACATTTTACTTCTGATTGATATTTTTTTTACTAAATTTTGATCAATTTGAAGATTTAAGTTTTGACATCAATTTTTCTAAATAATGATAAAAACATTATACAGTTTGAACTGAGCATATATATGCAATAAACACTGCTTCTGCAACATGGACTAATAACAAAAACATATTTGCATCAATATACCTGTACCTACACGTGCGGAATCTGTGTAGTACTTTCAAGCCTAAAATTAACAAATACTAAAATCAAAAACAGTCAAAAAATGTAAAAAAAAAAAGAAAAATTTGAAGAAAGGACATATATAAAAATACCTGTGGAATGTTAGTGTTTCTGTGCCAGGCTGAATAAAACCAGAGAAAAACTGTAACTGTAAAATCTTGATAGCTGTAACCTGTGAAGATAATTCAACCATAACTTATATTATTACACATATAATAATTTTCTCAGCTCTTCAATAAGCTCAATATTTATATTGAAAAGCTTTGAAATATATAGTAATTAATGGTGTACAGTCTATACGCTTAGTGTAGCATTTATTAGTCTAAGAATAGGGACATAAATTTCAGTGTTATAAAGTCTTATTTGATTGCTTACCTGATTAGGAGTAGACTTTTACATGCTATTGAATTGATTTTACATATTTTTATAAGATTATTTCACGTGCAAGCTATGCGGAAAATTGTCCATAAATATTTATAAGGTTGCTTAAGCATTCAAAGATAAAAATAAAACTCTGAATGTAGCCAAAAAAAAAATTAAGTTTCTTTTTTATTTCTATTGTTTCAAATATGAGCCCAATACTTCCAGTAAGAAGTAATCTATAAAACACACAATTTATTGAAATGCTTTTTGGGCTACACCATTTGAAAGATGCTAGGCAATTCAAATTTTAAAACTGTAAAATTAACATTCACTTCATAATGCAAAATAATACATACTTTTCCTTGAACTTTGCCCCCAAGAGTAGACCTAGCATGATGGATCATCACTGTTGTGTCACCCATGACTGACACATGCAGAGGTATAACAACATGCTGGTCAGCCATGTTGAAATGCCTGAAAATTACAACACAGGTATTATAATGTAAATCATCACATATTGTTCAAAAAATATTCACATAGAAAAATTTAAATACTGCTGATTAGTAACTAAAACATAATATTACAAAATGACAAAGCATACAAACATTTATGGATGCTTTTAAGTTTCAATCTCTGTGAGCAGCAATCTTCTTTGCTACCATGCGCAAAAAGCACAGAGAAACTGCAGGGAACTTCAGAATTCATTTTCCTATACACAAACATTTCTCTCCTCATTAGCACAAACTTTCAGAAATAAAACTTACTGAATGGATCCAAAACTGTTGATCATTTTATTAGACCAAATATGGAGGGTTCAGTACTATATCAAAATGATTTTGAATACGCAAATCAGCAATTCATGTGCCAACACAAGCTAATATGATGTCACAGTTAAGCAGCATGTGTGTGTTTTCTTGTGTCCACCAAGGGGAAGCAAACCTCTGATTTTAGTGTTGTAAATCCAAAGAATTACCACTGTTTAACAAGGGGACTAAACAGCATATATTAGATCCACATTTTGACACTGTTTAGCACTTCACAATTAGTGTGATGCCACCAAAAACTGATCACTTATGAGAAGGGCATGTAACACCCCTTTTTAATGCAAAATATGAATACAATCAAATCAAAGATGTGTTCAGATCAGAAATTCAAAATTTCCATCCAAGAGGGGGATATATCCCTTGTACTTAATGGTGTTGGAAAAATAAAAGGAATATGAACGAACTTGGGATACCAGCAACATTCAGAAAAACACCTGCAACAAGCAGTAACTCAGTGTTGGTAAGCAAAGTGCATGTCTTGTAACAGGTGAGGATCCACAAGTTCAGTGGCAAATGTTGTTCATGTCTCAGACAACACTACACTACAAAATTAAGCATAATCTCTGTCTGGAAAAGCAATACAAGTAATGTATACACTGGTTGTTTACAGGACATATTTGTTAAACCATCACATACTTCAAGCAGCTAAAGAATATGTTATTCCATACAAAGACATACTGGTCAAGTTACCAGGTGCAAAGGCCTATGGATCTCTGTGAAAACGTCATAAACAGGATGGATTACGGAAAACAATCAGAGAGAGGTATGTTTTAGACTGGATGGCCCTAAAATGGAGCTTTTAACAATGTAAATTACACTGCAATGCTATTGTAAAGATGCTTGATCATCAGACAGAACATGACTGCACATGGCAACAAGGGCTGGAAAAACATGATAAGGTTCCAAAATTGTTTTAATATACCATACTCAACCTTTGTACTTTTACTGGATTCTTTCATACAAATATCATAATAAACTCCCTAAACTTACTGGATTCTTTCATACAAATATCATAATAAACTCCCTACACTTACTGGATTCTTTCATACAAATATCTTAATAAACTCCCTACACTTACTATATTATTTCATAGAAATATCTTAATAATCTCCCTACACTTACTGGATTCTTTCATACAAATATCTTAATAAACTCCCTACACGTACTATATTATTTCACACAAATATCTTAATAAACTCCCTACACTTACTGGATTCTTTCATACAAATATCTTAATAAACTCCCTACACTTACTATATTATTTCATACACATATCTTAATAAACTCCCTACACTTACTGGATTCTTTCATACAAATATCTTAATAAACTCCCTACACTTACTGGATTTTGTCATACAAATATCTTAATAAACTCCCTACACTTACTGGATTTTGTCATACAAATATCATAATAAACTCCCTACACTTACTGGATTCTTTCATACAAATATCTTAATAAACTCCCTACACTTACTATATTATTTCATAGAAATATCTTAATAATCTCCCTACACTTACTGGATTCTTTCATACAAATATCTTAATAAACTCCCTACACTTACTATATTATTTCATACAAATATTTTAATAAACTCCCTACACTTACTATATTATTTCATACACATATCTTAATAAACTCCCTACACTTACTGGATTCTTTCATATTCTTGTGAAGTAGTTATTAACCTTTCTTCTCTTACATAAACCTCAGCAAAAGGACGACAGCCATCTCTAGAAAAAGAAAAGTTGAATCCTTATTTATTTTTAACAACTTTAAATAAACAAACTTATAAACAGGAATCAATAATTAATTTGATATTCAAGTCTCTATATGTAGAGATACTGATATAAATCATAAGAAGATAAAATATAAAACAACAACAGATTTAAAGCATCACTCACATAAACTTTTCATCCCCCCTGCACTGCTTTTATTTAACATTGGGAAATATATACATAAGAAATAAACAAATTGAATATACAAATATAACACAAAAAAATGAAAACTGATGCACAAGTGAAATAGTTAAAATAGGTTTAATCCAGTAAAGACTGTGTGTTATTTAGGGATGGGAAAGAGAGTTTTATGTGTAATGTTTCTTTTATTAGAAGTTCAGTATCATGTTAGGCTGTTGAGAGAATTTTAAAGTTTGAGAGAGAAATCGGATGTCCTGTTTCTGTATTGTGTTGATAGATAGCAGAGGTTGGGGGGGGGGGGGTTGTAACCTTTATTTCAGTTTTTATAGATATGCCCATGTGTTCACATGCTTGTACTTTAAGGTGATGTTTGGTTTCACCAATATAGGAGGCCTTACAGTCTCCGCACATGTACAAGCAGACAAGATGTGAGCAATAGGCAGACAGCAAATGATCTTTGTAACAGAAAAAAGTTTTTAGTCTAATGTTGGGTTTCATAATGACTTTCAGGTCAATTTGAGGATAGTAAGAGTTACATAACTTTTTCAATTGAGAGTTCTGTCTCCTGAGATATGGTAAGCAGGTGTATAAGAGAAGTTTGGGTACAGTGGGTATCTAAGGTGGTTTGACAAACAAATTAGTTAGAAATGAGGAAGTTACTTTCTTCAAAAAATACACAGTGTAGCTGTTTCGAGAGAGAATATTATGTATGGAAGTAATTTCTTTGTGAAGTACTAAATTGCATAGGGTAAGATGGTAAGCTCTATTTAGTAGATAGGGAATAAGATTGCATTTGAAAAAAAGGGTATAAACTGTTACATGTGCTATATTTGATTTGTTTATTTCTTATGTACATATTTCTGTTGTAATTACAAACATTGGGAAATGTTATTAATAAAGTTATGTGAGTATGCTCTCTAAAGTTCTTTGACATGTTACAAGTAAGAAAAAAGTCTCACATTTCACCACAAATCAAAATATTGGTGATAAAAAACATTACAAAGTATCAAAAACTTTAATTGTTGAAAAATTTAAATATAGATTATTATGTTGAGTAAAGAACATTTCAGGCATCATGTACACAGGCTGCAGTTCATTACTACATTTCTGGTTTTGTTCTTTAGTTTGTCTTTCATCAGGGTCACTGATAAGGGATGAAACTTCATAAAACCAACCTAACAAATAAGGAAGTGAAAGTTAATAAAACAAAATACTAAGGCCATCAACACTGAAGAAAATGTATTCAAGATTGCAACAATACGTTCTTTGTCATTATCATACACAAACAGACTGATACATATTCACATGTTTTTAACTATTCTCTCTGCTCCTACCATCCAGCACTATGGTTTGCTATGTCTCACACAATGTGAAATATATGTAACAAGTGATATTACATTATGATAGGGCTAAAAATAACTTAAATCATATCATTATTTATTAGTCCAATACAAGTTTCCAATAAAACGAATGCATAATGACATTTCAACTGCACTCTATTTTTTACATGCTGTTGTTAACAAGGCCTTTCACTTATCATGTCAGCTGACATTATTAGGATTATATCTAGGATTATTGCTAGAGTACAAAATGGCTCACCTTAGTTTTGTGAATAGAGGAACTGGTTTCATTTCAACAGAAATAATCTTCACCCTCTTTCTGTGAGGTAGCCATGGTTGCGATGAAACTAACTGGGCTACATAACCTATGTACCTATAACAGAAAGCTACAGCTGAGATACATGATAGCCATGCTACTGCATCAACAGCTGTAAACTTAATTATATAATATACATATATATATATATATTTAAAGATTTGCTACAGAATTTAAAGTACAGAAAAAATGTTAATATCAATATACATTCTTAGTCTCTTCTAGGTTGTGACTACTTTGAATGAATGTAATTCATTCCATATGTCAGAAGAGGAGCATCTTAGCCAGCAAAGTGCTTTAAATTATTAAGCCGACTGTACATCCTCTCACTTCAGAAAGACATCACACCATATAAAAAAGAAGAAAAAATACAATGTGAACAACTCCGGGAATGTAATTGGTCGAAGCAGAGAAATGAACAACATTTTTCACATCCATCCCAGACATATTTCAGCATCTAGATTTATCAAAGCAGTTGGTTAAAAATAATTTTCCAGAACAATTCAGCTATTTTTCACAACACTTTATACCTTTGCATCACCCCTCATATTTATCCCATCCTCACACCTTTTCATTTTTTTTTCTAATTCATTTATTTAACCACATTGTAAGCAAGTTAGTTATTTAATAAAATGACTAATTGTTATTAAATCAGATAATGCATTTCATAAAGTCACAGTTTTCCCTGGCTTTTCCAGGCCTATAAATTAACTTTGAAAATTTTCAAGACTTCCAAGACAAGTGAGAACCCTGCTAAGCCTTTACAGTTTTTCACTTGGTCAAAAAATTTTGTCCTACAAAATGTGACTACACTGTTAAAATGAGCAGAATGGTGAAACTCACAGAAAAAGGTGTAGAAATAACAAAATATGTTATGTCAACATTTGGTCAGACTGTATCGATAGTTAATTTTTTTACACTTATGATAGAATTATAAAACTGAGTGTCCAGAAATTCTGTTAACAAATTTATCCACATAAGTAACCAATTCTGCTACCATAATTTCTAAATACATAAGTACATTCAGTACATAAGTCATTCCAATTTGTGCACATTAACATTTCAAATCAAACTTATAAAACAGTTAATTTTATTTATTTATTAAACTTATGCTAATGTGAAAGTGTAACAAAACTGTGTAAATTAATAAATGTTTTGAACCAATAATAAACTACTACAGTCAGAAATGCATGTTAATACTTGGAAATACGTGGCCAAATTAGGAAGACAAGGAAACAAACTTAAAATTAGGCCTTGTCACTTATGAACAAACACACAAAAGCTCTTATGAGATAAATAAACAGCACAAACAGAATAAAAAAAACCACTTACCTCTTGTGTGATGGCAGAAGATTGACTGGACATCTTCGCACAGCAAACAACTGCAGAGCCTCTTCTGGTGTTTGAAACGCTCGACACATTACCAGGAATGCACAAACAAGAACAGCTGAGGACATTTTTCCATCCTTAAGAGAAAAAACCAAAATTACAGCATTAAATTTTAAAATGTAAGGATAGATTTATGTAAAACACTATCAGTGTATATGTTACTATATGTAACTAAATTATTCCTAACCATCAACAGCTTACAATATTCATGCATAAATATTTAATATTCTTGCTCTTTTTCATTTAAAAATGTATATTTTTTTATATTACTGTTATCTAATACTTCTTAGATGTGAGAACAAATGTACTTCATTTCTAAATGCCACATAAAATGAGCCAATTTAAATCTATAGCTCTCCTAAATGTTTTAAAACTACTGTAATAAAATTTACATCCAATCTCAGCCTAAATATCAAAAGAAAATGTACTAACATCATAAATATGTTTGAATAATTTTCTGAAAAGAAATTTCTGACCTACTAACATGAGTCTTATGATTGTTACAAGTTTTGACTGCCTATATCTTTTTTCCATTCAAACATTTCATACATGGCAACTTCAATTTTACAGTAGTCTAAGTCCTTCTTACATACAGGGTGATTATACATAAACCTCATATTTAAAATAGAAACTCTTTGTCCTAGGGGGAATTAAATTTCATCCGGTGCACATTGAGAATCATAAGTTTTATTCAGGAAATTTTGGACATGATATGAAATATTTGAAAACCTTTCACTGAAGGTGTTTAAAACATTTTCCATCATTCTCAATCAGTATGTCAAGTCTAGCCTTGACCCAATGTGCGCAGATGGGGGTCAAAGTGCACGTCATAATCTTTTACAGAGTTACATCCAAGATTTAATTAAAAACTTTATTATCAATGTATGTCAGTAAACTTGACATCAAAATATATTTCAAATTTAACATTATAGAAGTTTCAATTTCTCAAATTCAAAAAGGAAATATTTAAATAAATTCTCAATCTTCACTTCTCTGTATCCCACGACACTTTTTTGTTCCAAATTGTTCATTTTAGCTTTTCTTTCGACCCCTATATGATCTTCTGAGTTTGACAAAAGTTACATACTTATAGTATAGATATCATGAAGTCATAATGTAAACTTATAGCCTCCAACCTTTTTACTTTTCTGAGATATGAACATGAAAGTCATATCTACATGCCTCACCCTCCTGTCATATCCTGTTTTTCAAAAAATGCCAATAATTCACTCCAAGATTTACTGTTATATTATTTGTAACCAACAAAAGGAGAAAATTTAAGTTACCAAATTTTCTATAATGCTAGCTCATTCCGATGACAGTTTTTGAATTATTCCTATCATCAAGATCGCCTCAACTAGCAAACAGAATTATTTTAATCCAATTATAACTTAGTTAGAAAGCCAGTTAAATTATAACAGGTTTAGAATATTGTATTTTTATTATGTCCTAAACTGAATATTGTAAAAAAATAAAAATTACTTTTTGTGATACAACAACCCTACTAAAAGTACGGTTAAATTTCATTGAGATTCTGAGAACAAAAACCTTGAAAACAAAGTACAAGAGCCGATAAGCAAATTTTAAATTTTTTTGTTCTTTATGTATAATTTTTATTTATTGTTATGAAAGTAAATACAATCTAAAGATTAGAAAGTAATTAGGATAAATAAGAAAATTTAATTGAAAAATAAAACAAATAAAACATTACTTATGATTCTCTTTCACGGAACATGCTTTGTGAGGTGTGTCTGTGTAATACGACTTTGGCATGCTTGTAATCAATCATTTGTTTGCACAAAGCTGTCCCACTGTGATAAATTGCTTTCAGCATACTCTGAGAGGGTCTAAGTGCAGCTGTAAAGCAATAAATCTAAATGACCCCAAGATCTGAAAAGTACTAGTTTCGGCTGTAAGAATAGTGTGTAATTATCTGTTACAATATGCACCTATTCAAGAAAGAAAAAGTGTAATTTAGACTTATTTCATATTTTTCAATTTAGCCTAAATTCCTGATTTCACTACAGTTAATGTTAGGGTAGAGAAAATAACAAACATGATATATATTTTTACTGAAAACAACTTTTTGATATTAATTTGAAGGTTTTAGAGGTTACAAAAATGAAATACAAAAACTGTAAGTTGGAAAATATATTTTTATTCTTAACATGAAAACCACCCTGTACCAAGATTAGTAAGAGTCTGAATCAGACTGACTCTAACTTTACAGATAAATAAAAAATATTTTCTTAAGAAAATATGTTTTTTTTTGTATTAAAGCAGACTTTTAATGTTCACTAAAAGTATGCCAAATTTTGTGAAGATACACATAGTAAATTCGGAATTATATTAAACATTAATTCACTAGTACGGGGCACATAGGGTTAAACAATGCTATCATAAGCATCATTTCTGAACAGTATTCACTGATCCTCTGTGTTCTAAACTTTGACCAAAATTCTAAACAAATCACCAATCTAGTACTGATGAAAGCAAGAAGGAAGAGAAATAAAGGCAACATCACTTCATAAGAAATGTGATTTGGAAATACAGTGTAAAATGGATTTTAATAGTCATGTATTATGTCCAAACTTATCAGAATAATACTTAGGATTCAGAAAATGCCTCAAGGAAAATCGTGTTTCTCTGTAAGTAGTACTTTTTAAGGTATAATCATTTTAAATATGTTTTATTCTTTGTAATAACCAGAAATGTTTGCTCCTATTCAATTTCAAAGCATAAAAATTACATGTCAAAAACTCATTATTTTTTTATCAGTAAGTTTTGTGGTTTCACAAATATATAAACAGGCATGAGAATTTCCAGTCACAGCAAACCAATCTATTAACCCTATCGCCCCCGGGTATCCTTTACTGTGAATGGCACAAGGTTTTAGTGTCTTACATTCAAAATTTTATTAAACTACTTTATGTTTATGTTATACACCAAGTAGAATAACATAAAATCTTAGCTAATAATACATATTTTAACAGTATACAAGTTTTAAGTTCTTAATTCTAAAAAGAAATATATAAAAAAATCCTGAATTTCCACTAGTGTGACCCATGTGACACATTTTCACGTAGCATGTCAACATCCCTATTTTATTCACCACCCCTTGAAAAAGTACGAAATTAAACTAAAATTACTCTCTATAAAATCGTTATTGTTCAGACAAACAATAATTTTTATAGTCTTCAATATTGTTTGGTTACAGAGCTATTGAATAGAAAATCAGACCTCTCCTGTTACATCCTCTCTCTTTCATAATTCGTTGGTAGCTCTCTCTTACATTTCATTATACATTACCTATAACCAATAGAAAGTCAAGGTTTTCATCTATCAAATTTCATATTGTATAATGAGTACAAGATTCGTTCCCGTGGGAAAGTTAACCACTAGCTTGGATGAATTTGTAATGGCTCTTATCACGTAGTTAGAAAGCAAAAAAATTTAGAGGTGAGGGAATTTGTCTATTTTTTGCATGTTATTAGTCTTTATTCCTTGGTGCATTATTGAATCAAATAAAAATTATTAAGTGCATTACAATCATTACTATAAAAAATTAGGCTTAATTCTCTTTGAAACTCGACAGCAAGAAAAAAGAAGATGGGGTACGTACTTTATTTCTTGTTTTTCATATTTATTCTTTATTTATTATTACAAAAGTAACTAAAATCTACAAATACAGATCTTTTTAAGTTATTTAAGACTAGATTAGGTAAAATAACTAATAATAATAATATAATTAAAATGGTTCACGAGGCACAAATGAACAGCTCGTGGGTAATGTAATTCGATAGCTTAACGTTACCTGTACATTCTCTGAGTGATTTACAACTTATAATGGCACGGATAATAGTTAGACATGGTTCAAAGGACAATAGAATAATAAAAGTTAATTATAAATAGATAGGGTAGAGAAAATAACAGATAAACTATAAATTTTTACTGAAACAAAATGTTTGCAATGCATTTAGATGGTTTTATAGATTACACAAAGGAAATTTGAAATTTTTGAGTGAGTAAAAGTATTTTTTATCTTAACATGAAAATTACTTTGCAAATTACTATTCAAAACAAATACTCAATATATTCATAGACAAATCTTTATTTTATTAAAAATACTTCACTAGAAAATATTATTTTTTGTACGTGAAAGATTTGTAATATTAACTGACAGACTGCCAAATTTTGTGAAAACGTACACACTATATTGAGAGTTATAAGTATTAAATCTAGAAAGACTTTAAACAAGTACAAAAAAGTCACGTGGTCAGTCAAATTGACCAAGCCCGTATTGAGAGAGTTAAACATCTTTCTATCTGCATTACAAACGGATTGTCAAAACCAAACATTAGGAGTACCACATGGTTTAAGAATCTAGTATACTTTATATTGAAATAGTGAGTGTATGAATAGTAGGTTGGTACATTATCACTGAATAGTTAATTAAGTTAAACTTTCAAATAAGGATCACTAGTAATTAAGTTTGATTGTAATCTTAGTTCAAAAAACTCCAAAGGCATATTAAACTAACAAAACCAACGTGTTACAACTAGAGTAATTAACTTACCATACAATGGACTACACAAATGTTTTTAGGATTTTGTTGAAGCCACCAGAGCATATTTCTACACAAAGAAACTAATACTGTGAAAAGAGGTGCTTTTCTAGCCTGCCAGCCCACTTGTGTTACTTTGGATTCAAATTTCACTGAGGTATATGCTCGACCCGACACATTGTAAACTGCATAATGATTACGATGCCTTGCATCGAGAAATCCTCGAACATCTTCTATGTGGTTTCGGTAAGTTGACTCTAATCCTTCAGCTGGATATGACATGACTACAAGAGCAAGGTGTGACATTAACAACCAGTCCTATGTCCCACTAGGTAACTAAGTTTTAAGCATTAACATTTTACAGGAATCAGTAAAAAAGATCATAGGAGCCAGTAAAAAGTTCACAGGAACCAGTAACTAGATCACAGGAGCCACTAAATAGTAGTTCATAGTAATTAAATATAATTAAAGAAAATATCTTATGTAGCTTGTGTTCAGAATTTTCACCAAATACAACAAACAAGTTAATAGGAAATATACATCAGAAATATATACAAGTAATATCTAATACTTGAATAAAACTACCATAAAACTTGTGTGCCAGTTCATTACAATTAATAAGAATATGTGAGAAAATTCAAGACATAAAATATCCTCAGGAGGCATATGTCTTGGTGTAACCAATTTAACTATTCTAACAAATATATTCAAATTCATGTGAGTTGAGATGTATTTAAAGAAACTCAAGAAATTGTTTAGTACACAATACCAATGAAAACTTAACAAGAATGTTAATTAATCTGATTATGAGTCATTAAGGTTCTATCAAAACTGAAGTTTATACTAAACTAAATGTTGAACATCATTACCCACCAGAAATTATAAGACTTTCAAATACAGTTACATGAAAGCCTACAGAAATACTTCAGATACTACTTCGTTAATGATAAAACATAATAACAGAATATCAAGTATGAAAAATTATCAACAAAAAAACCAAAGTTTCATTATACCTGCTATTCTTGTAGTAATGTAACTGAAATCCAAATCTGTCTTTGTAATGGTTCTGAAACATGTAAAATACAGAAAGATTAACAACTCAATGAATCATTTTAGTACTGAATTATGTAACCATAGGAAATGTATGTTTGTTATAACAAATAACTTTTTGGATTTAGAATGCAAATATATGGATAACAAATTATATTTCCTGTTGTGAAGATTTGTCTACATTAAAAATCATCTGGATTGTGAATAATATATACATTGTACATTAGGTCTAATATTTCCCCTCAATGTATCACTGATATCTATATGAACCAGTTTTAAATACAAAGAACCATATATACTTCCAACACATATTTAAGACAATAAAATAAAAGATGTCAACAATCTGAAAATGTGCAACTGTAAAGAACATTAAGACATCAGTTAAAATATGTTTCGATCAGATACTGATCAGATGGATATAAAATGAGAAGCAAACCAATAAATGGGCTGTAAGCCAACAGTTAAGATACTCATTTCAGACAAAACACTGGGATTTGACCACTACACTTCCAAAGCACACAAGTTTTTGCATCATTGAAGTAGCATGTCCAAGTTTTTGTTTTTTCTTTCTTTCTTTCCCCTATATATACTATATGCACTAGTTGTCCCTAATTTTGAAGTGATAGACTAGGGGAAGGTAGTTAATCAACACCACCCACCTCTAACTCTCTGAATACTCTTGTCAAACCGATTTTACTATTACTATTATAGGGCGTTCATGGCCCTAAAGTGTGGAGCACATTGTTTTCTGTAGCAGTAATGGGATGTGTACCATGGAACTTTCAGATCCATAATCATATACACTAACCAGGCAGTAATGGGATGTGTACCATGGAACTTTCAGATCCATAATTGTATACACTAACCAGGCAGTAATGGGATGTGTACCATGGAACTTTCAGATCCATAATCATATACACTAACCAGGCAGTAATGGGATATGTACCATGGTACTTTCAGATCCATAATCATATACACTAACCAGGCAGTAATGGGATGTGTACCATAGAACTTTCAGATCCATAATCTTATACAGCAGCCAATCAGTAATGGGATGTGTACCATGCAACTTTCAGATCCATAATCGTGTACACTAACCAGGCAGTAATGGGATGTGCACCATGGAACTTTCAGATCCATAATCTTATATACTAGCCAGGCAGTAATGGGATGTGTACCATGGAGCATTCAGATCCATAATGTTATACACTAACCCGGCAGTAATAGGATGTGCACCATGGAACTTTCAGATCCATAATCTTATATACTAGCCAGACAGTAATGAGATGTGTACCATGAAACTTTCAGATCTATAATCTTATACACTAACCAGGCAGTAATGGAATGTGGACCATGGAACTTTCAGATCAATAACCTCATACACTAACCAGCACTAGCCAGGCAGTAATGGGATGTGTACCATGCAACTTTCAGATCCATAATCTTATACACTAGCCAGGCAGTAATGGGATGTGTACCATGGAACTTTCAAATCCATAATCTTATATACTAGCCAGGCAGTAGTCGGATGTGTACCATGGAACTTTCAGATCCATAATGTTATACACTAGCCAGGCAGTAATGGGATGTGTACCATGGAACTTTCAGATCTACCATTTTAAAAATTAACCACTGGGCTGCAGGAATGTCTGAAATAAAAATGCTGTTCACAGAACTTGAAATTGTTGTTTATTCCTCTACTTTTCAGAAACAATGTCATGTTAACAATATTTGTGTAAACACAACTCAAAGTTTGCCACATGTCCAACACAGTCAACTGTATTGCTTCCATTCAAACTGTTTTTATATTAAACTCTGTAGTAAGAACTTTTAGACACTAGTTTAAGAAAAGTCTAGACCAAAAAGATTGTGAGAAAGAAACTTATTATGAACTTTATCCACCTTGTCTATTATTTTTCTATAGGATATTATTCACCACAATCTACACTAATTTATGCTGTCATGCTATTCAGCAGACAAACTGTTTAATTTTATTTCTGATTTTCAGTTTTGGCTGAACAGAGGTTAGAGACTCTCTGTTCTTGTAAATGTCACAAGATCATGGGGGTAGAAATGTTTTTAAGGAAGTTCACCTCTCAACAAGAAAAAACCAAAGAACAAATGGACATCTCTTGTAGTACTACAGACTATACACTATTTATACAGTATGAATAGACTTTTAGTATACACAAACATGAGCACTAGGTGGGAGAAATGAAAAATTTCACTCTTTCACACAAATGAACTATGCAGTAACAAGCACAGTTACAAAATACTTGCAAAGAAATGTCTGATTTGAATATCAGTGTTGTTCATATGAATAGCAATCAAATGGACTTGAATATATCAAAAACAAAAGAGAATCCTCAATAGCCATGGCACTTGAAATTCTTTTAGGCAGGATTAGAGTAAATTAAACTATGAGACCTTGGGCATGGTCAATACATCATCCAAAAGGATGTGACCAAAACTGTAATTAGATCTTAAATAGGTCAAGAGATGATGGAGCTATGAGCTAAAAGTTTGTACTTGAAAAAAAAACTCAAAGCCATTTTATGAGTCGCTATGCGACAGCTAAAAAAAAAAGTTTAATATTTTTACATGCATATTTAAACAAAATGAATAAATACGTCATTAGAGAAATATTTGCTAAACAATAAAAATTATAAAAAGTTCAAAAGTAATAATGAATGATTAAAACCAACAACAGGCTCAATTTCTAAAATGTCAACTAATACATACTGTTACTCTTCATTTGACTTACTGTTGAACAGTTTGGATTACACGTGTAGAAGTGTCCCTAATGTTTTTAAATAGACTTCCAGCACCTCCTCGTATAGATGTAAAAAGCCCACTGCCTGCAGCTGCCTGGGTAGAATTCTGGGAGTAACTTTGACTTTGGTTAGTATGAGGTGGAGGAGTTGGTGTATTGTTACATTCAGCACTACATTTTCTAGCCTGACCAATGTGGGCTGAAACAGAAATGGACAAAATTATAAGTCTTGCAGACCATGTATATGGTCTAAAAACAATTTGAACAATTTTATATGTTGCATAAACAAAACTTTATAAAATTACCATAACACATGTGAGCACAGATTCTATACAAAATTACGAAATTCTAGTAAATATTAAAGACGCAGTTTATTTGGATACTCAGTAGAAATTACTTCATTTTACCTGGTGGATAATAAATAAAATAATTTTGTAACCTGGACTAGCAGGGTTGCTCTCTCCCATAGGTTGTCCTAGTCTTAATGCCTCTTGAAGGTTTATCTTTCTGGTTTCTGCTATTTCTAGTAACTGTTCTATCACAAACTCTATAGTAGGTCTATCTACTGGATTGATCTGCAACATTCCACCTGAAAGTGTTATGAACACAAGAAAACATTATGAAACATGAAAAGCATTTATACACAATGTACTCTTTAAAATGCTAAGCTAAAAGAAGTAATATCCAACACTGAAAATATTTGTACATACTGCATGCTTTAACTCTTTCTGCACAGGCTCAGTCAAATTGACCGAATTCATAACCATTTTGTGTTAATTACAGCTTCCACACTATAACTTTTAATACAGTACATGTATCTTCACAAAACTTGGCGTACTTTGAGTAAACATTACAAAACTTTTGTACACAAAAAATTAATTTTCTAATTAAATATTTTAAATAAAAATTGGTCTGTGAATATATTGAGTAGTTTTGTTGACTGGTCCAAGTGCAAAGTGATTTTCATGCTAAAATTATAAGTACTTGTATTCATCTGTTATTTTCTCTACTTTAACTCTATATACAAGGTTGGTCACACTCATAACAGTATACACCTGTTTCTACTTAAATCTCATTGTTTTATTGCTCTATGAACAGTGTCTAGGTTAATATTCCTGCCATAAAATCTAAAGTTGTAATAATGTCATTTTGTAGGTTCTCAGTTGTACAATATGTGGAGTACTGTGTTCAGTTTTGAACCCCCTTACCTTAGAAAGGACATTGAATTGTTGGAAAGGGTTCAGAGGATGGCTACTAAAATGATACAGGACAGGTTAAGATATCTGAACTTTTCTTTTGAAAGAGTTAGAAGGGATCTGACTTAACCCTTTCGAGATAGGTCACAGGTGAAAGGCCATGTCATCTCGTTTGTTGACTTGCATTCAAAATTTTATTGAACTAATATTTCATGAATTTATGTCAATAAGTTTGGTATCAAACTGTAGATTATAATTCAAATTTTAGTACTATAAATTACTATACATCTTCAGCAAAGACAGGCTTATTTTTCTAACAGGGTGGTTGGCCTTTGGAACAGGTTGTCTTCAGATTTGATAGACGCAGTTAATTCAAGGGAGTTTATGGGAAAGCTTGATATAAATATTTGAATGATAAGGGCTGGCTTTGAGTTTTTTTAGTGTTTAGTTCATCTACTGGATGGGAAAGCCTAGATGGACAAAATGGTCTCTTGTTGTCCATTAATGTTATATGTTAAATGTCATGTTACATCACAGACTGCATCATGTATTGTCATGATACTAATTTCTTGTATTATAATTTCATGCTTTGGCTATCTAAATTGTATTACATCTGAATAACTTGTTTATGTAAATGCACAATTTCTATATATACATATGTTTCTATTTCCATGCTGTAATGTACCTCATCAAAGAATACTTACTACTAGGGTTTGACATTCTATCTGGCATAGTCTATTTAAACTCTACTGGATTATCATCAGTGTAGAAATGATGCATTTAGGCAAGATGTTCATTAATAAAATCACAAACAAAGAAGCACTGAAGCTCCAAGGCATTCTTTCTAACTCACATTTATTCATACATTTGGTAATTATATTTTCTAATTATAACATCACATAATCTTCCTCATCTTGACTCTTTAAACATGTAACAGGGCATGACATAACCATCCTCACCTTAACCCTTTAAATGTGTGACATGACAATCTTCCTCACCTTAACCCTTTAAATGTGTGACATGACAATCTTCCTCACCTTAACTCTTTACATGTGTAACATGACATAACCCCCTAACCTTAACTCTTCAAATGTGTAACATGACATAACCCCCTCATTTTAACTCTTTAAATGTGTGACATGACACAACATAATCTTCCTCACCTTAACCCTATTGGCACAGGTACCCTTTACTGTGCATGACACAAGGTTTTAGTATCTTACATTCAAAATTTTATTAAACTACCTAATGTTTATGTTATACCAAGTAGAATAGCATAAAATCTTAACTGATAATCCATATTTTAACAGTATACAAGTTTTAAGTTCTTAATTTTAAAAGGAAATACATAAAAAAATCCTGAATTTCCACTAGTGTAACATACATGACAAATTTTGTCTTAGCATATCATCATCCCTATTTTATCCATCACCCCTTGAAAATGTACAAAATTAAACGTAAAATGTTCTCTATAAAATCGTTATTGCTCAAACAGACCATAATTTTTATGACCTTCAATATTGTTTAGTTACAGAGATATCAAATTGAAAATCAGACCCCTCCTGCCACACCCTCTCTTTCACAATTGGTTGATAGTTCTCTCTTGTGTTTCATTATATATTATTTATAACCAATAGAAAATCAAGGTTTTCATCTATGAAATGGCATATTGTATAACATTGTGTTCTGAGCAGATAATCGTCAATGTCACTCTGAGTAGCAACTTCGTTTCCATGGGAAAGTTAACGACTATTTTGGATGAATTTGTAACGGCTCATCTCATAGTTAGAAAGATAGGAAAATTTTTAGAAGTGAATTTGTCTACTTTTTGCATATTATTAGTCTGTATTCTTTGGTGTATTATTTACGTAAATAAAAATTGTTAAGTGCTTTACCATAACTGCTAAAAAAATTAGGCTTAACTCTACTCGACAATTGAGGGCAAGAAAAAAGAAGATTGGGTAAGTACTTCAATTCTTGTTTTTCATATTTATTCTTTATTTATTATTATAAAAGTAACTAAAATTAGAAGCACGGATCTTTTTAAATTATGTAAAACTAGAATAGGCAAAACAAGTAATAACAATAATATAATTAAAATTGTTCACGAAGCACACACGCGAGCAGCTCATTCGGTAATGTAATTCGATAGTGTAACGTGAGCTGCACTTTCCCCGAGTGATTTACAACTTATAATGGCACGGATAGCAGTTAGACACGATTCATAGGGAAGTAAAAAGGGCAATAAAACAATAAATAGATGTATAGTGTTACGAACTTAGAGTTACTTAGGATAAACGAATGTAGTTTAAGGTTACAATTTGAAGTAATTTAGGTTTATTTAGATTTTTTTTGGTGGTTACAAGGTCAGTTGAATTAACCGATCCAGTTTTGAGATTAGGGTAGAGAAAATAACACAAACTATAAGGATTTAGTGACAAAAAACGTTTGAAATGCATTTAGGAAGTTTTAGTGATTACACAAAGGAAATTTGAGATTTTTGAGATGGCAAAAAGTATTTTTAATCTTAACACCAAAATTACTTTGCACATGGACTATTCAAAACAAATACTCAATATGTTCATGGACAAAACTTTATTTTATTTTATTAAAAGTACTTCCCTAAGAAATATGACTTTTTTTGTACGTGAAATACTTGTAATATTAACTGAAAGACTGCCAAATTTCATGAAAGTATACCCAATATATAGAGAGTTATAAGTATTAAATTGATGCAACTTTAAACAATTACAGAAGGTCACATGACTTGGTCAAATCGACAGACCCCGTGTAGAAAGAGTTAAATGTGTGACTTGTCAATCTTCCTCACCTTAACCCTTTAAATGTGTGACATGACAATCTTCCTCACCTTAACCCTTTAAATATGACATGACAATCTTCCTCACCTTAACCCTTTACATGTGTGACATGACATAACCCCTTACCTTAACTTTTTAAATGTGTGACATGACACAATTTCCTCACCTTAACCTTTACATGTGTAACATGACATGCCATAATCTTCCTCACCTTAACCTTTACATGTGTGACATGACATCACCCCCTCACCTTAACCCTTTAAATGTGTAACATGACATGACATCACCCCCTCACCTTAACCCTTTAAATGTGTAACATGACATGACATAACCCCCTCACCTTAACCCTTTAAATGTGTAACATGACACAACATAATCTATCTTGCCTTAACTCTTTAAATGTGTAACATAATCTTCCTTGCCTTAACCAATTAAATGTGTAACATGACACAACATAATCTTCCTGATGTTAACCCTTTAAATGTGTGACATGACAATCTTCCTCACCTTAACCATTTACGTGTGTAACATGACACAACATAATCTTCCTCACCGTAACCTTGTATATGTGTAACATATGATATAATCTTCCTCACTTTAACCCTTTACAGGTGTAACATGACACAATTTCCTCACCTTAACTCTTTAAATGTGTGACATGACGTAATCTTCCTCGCCTTAACTCTTTAAATGTGTGACATGACATAACCTTCCTCACCTTAACTCTTTAAATGTGTGACATGACATAACCTTCCTCACCTTAACTCTATTGACAATAGATAATACACCACATATCTCAAACGGTTTGAAAAGTCAAGGCAAAAAAATGGAATAGTTGATGTGGGAATTGCAGGTCATTATGGTCTGGGAATGTTCCTACCCCCTATAGACCTCAGATAAACAATACTGGTGTGAATAGTCAATGCTAAGAAGGTCTAGGAATGCCTCCATCCCTAAAGACCTCACATAAACAAGTGTTATTGATGTGGAGATTGCATGTCATTACGGTCTAGGAATGTCCCTGTCCCTACAGGCCTCAGATAAATTAGTGTTAATGGTTTTTGCTCCAGAAACACCACCTATAACATGACATGTTATACACCATAAAGCTAATTGTTAAACATGACTATCCTATGTGTTATTTTATAACTGCTGGAGGGAGGGTAAAGCCAGTTACATGATGCAACTGAAAATATGCATGTGTTCACCCATATATTGACACAACATGGTAGAGGCATAAACAGACCGCAGATCATTCACATTTGGTCTATCAAACAGTACTTTAAGAATATTTGGTGGTCCATCACTAAGCTTGCTAGCCTTACATCAGGTAATCAGCATTAGTCTGACAAGCTATAACAATGCATCTTTCTTTTTTGCTGTTATCAAGCATAGCTTAGCAAGAGATGAAGAAAACCAGAACATGAAAGAAAAAACAATCAAGAGTATCTGTCATTACCTGTCTGCTAAATAGGTAATATTTTCACTTAGTTTTGTTTAAAAACAACATTCAGATGTATAAGGGGCAAAGAATTCAACATCTTAAGTGCTAGAAAAAACAGAACCTATGAATAATATCTTTACAGAAATTTGACAATAACAAGCCCTGAATTATTTTTGCTTTTCTATTAAAATAGGCCCAGAGACTTACGTATTTGATCATGAAGGATTTCATATTCAGTGTCATTTTCTGGAATGGTGTATTTGCCATTGATAATACGCAATTTTGCAGAGTCTTCAAATGGATGTACTCGAAAGGCTAGTAAAAACAGCACACATCCCAAGGCCTATGTTGAAAATTAGTAGCCAATTAAACTTTTTATTACATATAACTTTTATCAATAATACTGTTATACAAAAAAAAAAGTTGGTACTTATAGAAAATCTGATTTAAATCACAAGACTACTTTCAGCAGCAGTATGTCACAGAAGACTTACGAAAATCTTTTAACAAAACCAAATTTTCTTTTATCACATACTTTACAGACGTGTCTCTTAAAGTTAATGTTAATCTTATAACTATCTATAGTTACCAAACTCATAAAATGATTTAAAAGACTGTGAACATGAGTACACAATGACCCAATAAGAAAACTCTCTCAATAATATAAACAGATGATCCCAAATGGATGATCTCAGTCAAGATCACAGAATACAAACAGCCATGAAAAAATAAAAGGATCCTAGAATTAACTGATTTTTTACAAGATTGCATAGTTGATAAAACAGTGTGAAATCACCAGGTCACTTGCAATACTCTGTACAAAATGAATTTGGTGATAATGTAGTTTCAGTTATATTGGAAAACAACAAAGTCTGCATATTTCAGTGGCATAAAACCAATAAAACAGACTTTTTGTTGTGAGAAGTGTAGAAAAGGACCAGCATTAAATGACCACTATTGTTATAGGACAGGAATAAATTGAGCCCCAAAACATCAAAAGTTATCTTCACAGTATGAGTTATAAGCTAAGAAAGACATTCAACACTCTACACAATATCATAAGTTGACAGCAGTAAGAATCACTATGCTATCACAACTTTCTACATACTGTAAAATCTTCTAGCAAGCCCAAATTTGCACAGTTCTCGCAGAAACTTTTGTTGAACCACATGCAACCCACTACAAACATGGTGGTGTTTCTGTAATGTTGTGGGGTAATATTTGAGCAATTGAATCATCAAGGTTGGTGGAACAAAAAGGAACAGTCACTGCTGTTAGATCCATTATAATGCTTAAGAAAGGCCTTTACTCTGTCTATGCCAATGACCAGCTTACCAGACAAGGTAGTTTTCATGCTAGATGGGGCTCCTTCTCATTCAACCCAACTCACCAAAACAATGACTTAAAGGTAAGGACTTTACCATTCTCCTATGACCATGATTTTTGAAGAATATGAACACTTCAAGTAAGTGTGGTCCACTCTTGATCTCACTTCATGCAAAAGTATCTGAAACAATAAAATTCTAGAAAACCCAAGTTCTTCACCAGGAGTGGGGTACAATCCCACACATTCTGATTTTCAGATCTTGTAAATATAATGTGTGTAACCATCTTCCTGCCTTAAATATTGCAAAGGGCAGTTTCACTAAATACTAACAGTAATCTTTTACCCTTTCTTTCTTAAACCTTTCTCAAACTAGAGGGATATCACCGATATCCCTTGATTTTTTTCCTTCTTACAGTGAAAATAATTAATCAAATTGCATAAAAATTAGCTCAACCTTACTAAATATCTAGTTTTGGCATTGCAATATTCACAAACATTTTTTAGTATTTCTATCATTTCTTAGATTGTGAAATTCCCAATATTTTGTTGTGATATACAGTTCTGAAAAAAAATTTAAAATACTACATCTTAGAATCTCAACTTTAACTACTGATCAGAAAGTTAAATTTGATTGATATTCACGACATATTATTTTTTATACTTTATACTTATAATAACCCAATTTTGAAAAATGGGGTAATCACTACCTTTTAAACTAAGTATCATGATTTTTGCTCATATTTTTTATCAAGATCTAGTTATATATATAATAAACTATTTCTTTTATTTGTTTGCATTTTTTGAATGCAGTAAACTTATCAACAACCCTCAACAAATAAAGATTTGAGTCACTGGAATATCTTGCCCTTGCCTACCATACTCACTAAACTTCACTACATTCCTGATGTATTTTCACAGCAGAAAATTTGTTAAACTTTCAAATGGATATAATTTAACCCCAAAACAGTTTCACGAATGAATAGAGCATCTAATGAAACTGTTGAAGAAAAATATCCCAGGTTTGTGCTTTATTCCTAAGTCTTCTAAACTTCCCATTACATTCCTTTGTTCATCCCTGCTGGGCTTATTCTTAGTCACTCTCCCACAAACCATAAATTACTGCTCACACTATTTTATGTACCCTACATTGAAATAAAGAGGTTATAATCTGCTCTATCAAAATGTGTTTAAATGTTGCCTATAGTTATTTTCCAAGCTGTCTTTCATTTGTAGTTGTTCAGACTACATCCTGTGCCATGATAAAAGGGTGGTAATTAAGTCTGTAATAACAAAACCATTAACAGAAAAGGAAATCCACTTCAGAAATAAGATAATTGTATTCTCAAGAAATCATAGTTTATTAAAAAGTGTAAACCTGTAGTTTAGGATGGATTATAAAATTCTGTTCACAGGTTAGGCTCCTAAAAGATGTGCGAACATGAAAGTTGGAATCATCCTTCTTTAATTTTTCTTAGTTAATTAATAAACATTGCAAAATTTCAAAACATCAATTCTACAATATTTTTGAATTCCTTTTTTTTAAATAGTATTAATTACTATTTAAACTTAAGTTTTAAAATTTGGTATGCAGATGTACACCCGACACCTGAAAGATGGTAGGGTTAATAAAGCAGCTTACTTCTGAAGTGAGTTTCAAATTACCTATTGGCTGAATGTATGTGAATAATTATTATTAACCACTAGAGATGGGTGGTTAACTCGATTAATTGATATAATAGCACACTAACTCACAACAGATTATTTAAACATTAAGCTTGGTGTCATATGACACTTTTGAAACATGAGCAACAAATTACTATATTCTAGGTCAGATCTTAAAAATGCAAAAAGTAAACATAAGTTATGGACCAATAAGTATATCAGTAAATTAATAGATATCTTAAAGACTCCTCACACAACTCAGACATTCAGTTTCAGTATCTCCAGGTAAAAACACTTACCCAAATATCCATAGCTTGATTAATTGGATAATTATTATATGTATCAAGGATTTCTGGTGGTCTGTACATTGGAGTCGTATGCTTGGTCATCTAAAAGAATAGGAACAGCAACAATACTACATCATAAAGTGAAACAAATGTTTATCAGCTTTTTCTTAAACCATTTGTATATAGAAACATATCTATTTTCTTACAATTAATTATTTAATACTAAAACAAAAATTAATGTAATTCCTTTCTGGCACAATTTTGTTCAAAACGCTTGCAGTTGTATTATATTTTTCATTTCAGTATTGATTAACAGAGCTTACAATAAAATGATATTCCATGCATTTCTGGAAGAGGTCTTAGTTTTGCACTAAAGTGTGCTTACAGAACTAATATCTGAGCTCACCTCATCTTCTACAAGGTTGCGTTGTATGGCAGTCCATGAACTATTAGGATGGTACGTCTTTGTTGTAGCAGATCCAAAATCACAGAGTTTTAAGGTACCACGGCTACTCAATAATAAATTTTCTATCTATAAACAACAAAAAAAAAGTGTTTGTTGTTTATACATTATATAAGGTATCAACAATTACTTAATACAATACCACTAAACAAGCAAATTTAACTGGATCTTTTTGCTTTTCAAAATAAGTATTATGGCAGGAAATATTTGGAAATGATTTCACCCAATGGGGAAGGCTTCAAAATTTATATTATTAAAAACTTCAGTGTATAAAGACTATATAAAAGGCACATGGAAAAAGAAACATTCTCAGGTCCATCCATGTACTTTAATAAAATCCACAAAATTTGACTAGTGCTATTCAATACATACAGTAATGACAGATTTTGGTAAAGCAATTATACTTGTATAAGAAAATTCAAATGAAAATATCAAAACCAGAAAATGGATTTTAAAAATCTCTATAACAATATTTTCTTGAACTTCTTACATCCTTTTGGAATTCATTTCAACCATTAATTGAAATATGCAAATCATGAAAGCATACACTGCTTGTCAAATGCTGCACATCTTGAAAAACTAGCTTAGTGATAAACAAACCTTGAGGTCTCTATGAATGATTGGAGGCTGTTGTTCATGCATGTGCTGTACAGCTCGACACGTCTGATAAAATATCTGCACAACTTGTCGACATGTCAAAGGACCTTGTTTTGCTTTCAAAACATCTATTAGAGGTCCTCCTGAGAAAAAGAAGCAGATACAAAAATATTAAAATAACAGTATGTGTATCTTTACATATAAATCTGACCATTGCAGCTGTTATAGATATGCTATGCAAAAACATTTAATCCTTCTTTCTCCCCCAGCATTCTTGTAATCAGTATAAAAGCCACATCTTAACAATAAGCTACATTTAGCTAAACAACATCATAGCCAAATATGCCACAGAAAAGTATGTGATGAAAGTGTAATTTGAAATTTACAAGCTGGTTCTGTCAGACAAAGCTTACTTGTAATTTTTAAAACTGAGAAACAACAAAAATTGGCTGGCAAAAACAAAAAAACTGTTTGACAACTTTCTCAAATGCAAAAAAGATTAAACACACTATATTTTGAAAAAGAATGTGGGATACACTTTCATATTTATAATCATTATATTTAGTTTCACCAGCACTGGGCTCACAAATGAAGCATGATATGAAAATGTAAACATAGCACCCTATGACTAAGAAACTACCTTACTCATCCTGTCTGTTGCTTTTACATCATAGGATCACAACTACAAAAGGGCAATCTTTACACAGCCATCCCATATTTTCAACTGATGACTAAAGGGGTTGCAGCTAGTCAACAGCAATCACTTTCAACTCTTGAGCTACTCTCCTCTGAATGAAGTGGTCTTTGACAGTCACTCTTATAATGCAGCCACAGCATCAAAGCTCGAAACTCTTGAGCTACTCTTCTCTGAATGAATAGTGGTCTTTGAAAGTCACTCTTAAAATGCATTCACAGCATCAAAGTGTGAACCTTTTATATGTATATGTGTGTGTGTGTGGGGGGGGGGGGG